TCCCTTGTTTGCAAAGTAATTAATATTGGTAGCATTTGGATTAAGTTGGCAAACTTTACATGGATTTCTCAAGGCCACAGTTTAGCATTGATCTATCCATTGAGAGTTGTACTGTGGAGAGAAGACAGTTATACAGCTCTCAGTGTAGATAAGCTTACTTTCCATATTACAGGAAAACGTAAGTCTCTAGACTGAATACATGCATACACAAATACATATGCCATAGTTGCAGTCTGTCCACTCCTGTCATCAAACCTGATGTTTGCAATGTTGTAGCCGTGTTGGTCCCAGGATATTAGAGAGACAACGTGGGTGAGGTAATATCTTTTATTGGACCAACTTCCATTGAATCTCTTGTCTCTCTAATATCCACCCTGATGACAACCAGGTAAAAATAATTATAGTTTTCAATGAAATCTAACTTGTTGAGAGCTCTAGGCTAGATATGACTGTTACATTGCAGATTATAACTGCCTATAGAATAGTCATGTTTTTTTTCTTTTTCTTTCCCCTCGTACAGTTGCAGTATTTGCATAAAGAAACAGAACAGACACTTCATTGTCCCGGCTTCCCACTTCAAGCTGCTGAAGGTAGGTTAGGGTTTATGAGTGCAGTGGGTGTGGGTACCTGTCAAGATATTTGATTCTGAAAGATTCAGGTGGTGGTCAGCTTTGTATCATAAATTTGCCTGTGTCTGTCTGGAGAGATGTGAAAAATCCATTTGGATCCTAGGAGCCTGGCTGTATGTGTTTGTTAGCGTGTCTCAGAATGGGAAGTTCCATGTTTGAAAAGTGACTATACCTCTTCAAAAGATGAGGCAGGGATGTATGTACACCCCAGGAGTGGCATTGCCACCAGGTAAATGTGGTTTCAGAGTTGCAGCCGTGTTAGTCTGTATCCGCAAAAAGAACAGGCGTACTTGTGGCACCTTAGAGACTAACAATTTTTGCTCAAATAAATTTGTTAGTCTCTAAGGTGCCACAAGTACTCCTGTTCTTTTTGCAGGTAAATGTGCTAAGTCCATGTTACATTGACGACAAAGAGCATTACTGTCGCACTCATACTCCTAATGGGCTACAGATCTGAGCAAAAGCCCATCGCAATCTGTGTGAGTCTTGACTTATTGGGCTGTGGATTGGGTCCAAGCACATTGCTATAAAGAATTCTGCCTCTATTTTAGATCAGCTTCAGACTCCCTTAACTTGGTTTTTAAATTCTGATTACAGGCTTAACTCCTTTACATTTTAATTGTTACAAGGGCATCTTACAGGTTAGGCTCTTGGATTCCAAGTTTTCTGAGGACTGTAGCTCTTAGATTAATTTTTCTTGGCTTCTAGCACCATTTAATTTGATTTTCTTGTATAGTTGGACGGTCTCAGATAAACACAGAAATTTGTCCACTGCTTCTGGGAGGAAACCCCCCAATTATGTTTACTTTGGAGCATTTAAAAAAAACCTAAGCACTTTATAATAGACCTGCTGTAATAGAGAGTTCAGTGACTGCATTTCAGTGATCGGAAAGTAAAACCACGGCAATTGGTAGGCTTGTCTGGGGGAAAGGTGCATGTGAAAGTAAAGCACAGAGGGTAGGGAAAGGAGATTAATATCTGGAACAGAGCAGCATGCATGCCGTATTCTTAACTCTAACTCACATAAAGACATAGCGGGTGATATTTTAGACTAGTCTTAATTAGGCTTCTGTTTTTGTGCCTGCAATTTTACATTTACTAATTACAAGCCTGTGGAATGTAAGTGACAAAAAATGACCCATTTCTGGGTACGTGGCAAACCTTCACTGTGTATTTTTTTGCCTAGGGTGCTGATAACATAACAACGTACACCTTCAACACGCACCGCGCCCAGCACACATTCTGTAAAACCTGCGGCGTGCAGAGCTTTTACACTCCTCGTTCTAACCCAGATGGTTACGGTAGGTAAACAGAACCGGGAAGAAACCTGGTAGACCTATGCCAACACAAATTCACCCCCCGTTGCACTTGTATAATGACCCTGACGACCACCAGCACTCTGCCAAGAGCAGTAGCACAATAATTGTGCATCATACAGCTTGCTTCTAAAGTACTGAACATATGAACCTGCAACTTTCAATAGCACCTCCTTATTGTGTAAGTCTTAACTGTGACCAGTGGGCCACTGGCCATCTCAGGTTTCTCACCTGCTGCAGCTGTATCGACACTATCAACACCCTCTGAGATTCACTGCCCATGAAACTGAGAGAATAGCTCTCCTTGGCGTCAAAGGGAGAGTTTCTCTCTGTATTTCTCCCTCTTCTCCAGGAATAGCCCCCCACTGCCTGGATGAGGGCACTGTGCGCAGCACCATCATGGAGGAGATCAATGGCAAAGAGTGGGAGAAGGCCATGAAGGAACATAAGACCATCAGGAGCATGTCGAAACCATGATACAGCCTCAGTATCCAAAGGGCTTAGCTTGGAGCACTGCCATTGGCAGGCCACCACGTGACCTCTTAGTTCAAGCTCTCCTGTGCCAGGCTGTTCGGGAAGTATATCTTCTTTGTTTTTTTAAATAAATCTTTCTGTGCTGCCTGTTTTTTCCCTCCTTTCATTTTATATTCAGTTGTCAGACCACACCAGTTCCGTAACCTACCCAACAGCTGGGGTTTTTCCTCTTTGCCTTATTCTGACACTGCCCCTATCTGCAGCAGAGTTCAAATCACATTAGTCAGAACAAGGTTCTTACATCTATTGCAAGACTCTACCATGTTGTCTTTGGCTCGTGCAGACACATCCCAGTTGTGTTATTATCTGGTTTACACTGTGGTTCTCAACCAGGAGCCGGGGGCCATGAGCCGGTTTCAGGGGGTCTACCAAGCAGGACCAGTGTTAGACTCACTGAGGCCCAGGAAAGAAAGCCTAAGCCCTGGAGAAGCCTGAGCAATCTAGCTTCACGGGGCGCCTTGTGGCATGGGGCCCCAGGCAGTTGCCCTGCTTGCTACCCTTTAATGCTGGCCCTGGCTTTTATATGCAGAAAACAAGTTGTTGTGGCACAGGTGGGCCGTGGAGTTTTCATAGCATGCTGGGAGGGACTCAGAAAGAAAAAGGGTGAGAACCCCTGGTTTACACAACCGTACTACATGAAATAACGTCTCCCTACCCAGGGAAAAATTCTGCTGTTACACTCGTCTCTCCCTTGATTTCACTGAAGTTACTCTGGATTTAGAGCTATACCGGGCTGATGCTGGCATTACAGGCTTAAGTTGAGCAAGTTCTTACGTACGTGTTTAACTTTCAACACAAGAGTAGTGCCACTGAAGTTAATGCATATGTGCTTAAGTGCTCTGCTGAATAAGCGGTCTGACTCATGGACTTAAAGATAGCTGTGTGTAGGGTTGTCTAGTGCCGGCTCTGCAGCTCCCATTGGCCAGGAACCGCAACCAACGGGAGCTGCGGGTGTGGGTGTGAGGGCAACACATGGAACCTCCCTGGTCGCCTATGTGCCTAGGGGATGTAGGGACCTGGCAACTGCTTCCTGGGAGCCGCAGTAAGCACTGCCGGGACTCAGCACCCTGAACCCCCTGTCCCAGCCCAGAGTCCCCTCCTGCACCTAAATTCCCTCCTGAAGCCCGTACCTGTACCCCCCCAACACCATGCCCCAGCCCTGAGCCCCCTTCTGCACCCCAAACCCCTCATCCCCGGCCCTACCCCAGAGCCCACAGCTCCAGCTGTAGCCTGCGCCCCCTCCTGCATCCCAAATCCCTCATCCTCAGCCCCACCCCAAAGCCTGCACCCCTAGCCAGTCTTCACCCACTCCCGCACCCCAACCCACTGCTCCAGCCCAGAGCCCCCTCCTGCACCCCAAACCCTGCACCCCCAGCCAGAGCCCTCACCCCCCCACACACCCCAACCCCATGCCGCAGCCCGGTGAAAGTGAGTGAGGGTGGGGGAGAGCGAGCGATGGAGGGAGGTGGGATGGAGTGAGCGGGGGGTGGGTCAGGGGGCGGGACAGGGGTGTTCGGTGTTGTGCGCTTAGAAAGTTGGCAACCCTAGCTGTGTGTTTAAATACTGAGAGTACAGTTCTGCCCTGGTATCTTTTTAATAGCTATGTTTGGGAGGGTGTTATGATCTGAGTAAGGAATTAGGAGCCAGGAATTTGAGCTCTGATCCTGGCAGTGTAATGACTTGCTCTGTATCCTTGGGCAAGCTGCTTATCCTATCTTTACACTAGGGTTTATAGTCTTTATATCCCTATCTCCCACAGGGGCGGTGAGGAATAACTCGATGATGAGTGCAAAGCGCTGCGTAAATGCTGAGTATTATTTAGTTTGCTCTAGTGTGAAAGTCCTCCTTTAAGATTCCAATTATTATGAAAATCTCTGTGTAGATTTAAAAATTACAAACAAATATTTGAAAATTGGCCTGTCACTTACCTGCTGAATCTGTGGGTTGCAAAACCCAGAACCCAGCACTTCCTCCTGGCAACTAAGAGGAAGGGGGCAGCTTTTCAAATGGTGCATCTGGAATTTTTATGTCTACATATTTATTCTGTCAAAGAACTGGCTGGCGCCATCTCACTTGTCACTTCATTCGTACACCCTGCACATCCTGGTGAAAAACAGCTTATGTTCAGCGGATCTCAAAGACTTTGTTTGGAAGCAGGAATAAATACTAGTGTTTCACGAGGTACAGTCCAGCCGAGTAAAGCTCGTATCACAGGGTGGCTTGGAGGATCGAGATGGAAAGAACAGTAAGAGTTCAGTGCAATTATATTAGTCTGTATAATTTTTAATATTTTATTCCTAAAGTTTTGGCATTTTAAAGTCAAGAAACCAGCCCTCCATCAGCAGGAACTGGCTGACTGACAGGCAGGCCTGTGCGGTTCAGTGTTACAGCCTGAGGGCTGTGAGGATCCTGGTTCAAACCCCAAGGGACAATGTGTATCCCAGAAGGTGGAATTCTGTCCTCTTCTTGAGGCATTAAAGAAACAAGAGCTTTCAATAGTGTTTGGTCAGGCAGAGCCTCTCTTCTCTGGTCTCTCAATACCCCTGGAAGTGTGTATGATTCTCCTTCCCTTTATAGAAGGCAAAGTGAATTGATCACCATGAAGCGTGAGAACAGGATATAGGTGTGGCGGAACCAGAGAAGCTGGCTGTGATGGCACCGCATGGCTCTCTAGAAAGATAAAAATATGCGAGAAAACATTAGACCTTCCAAACCCATGCGGAAGACAGCTTTCAGGGATTTCTGTAAAGTTCAATACTAGATTTACAGTGAAATCTGTCTTCAGTGACCCACCAAAGGACCAGCACAAACACAGCTTAGCAGTGGTGGGATTCTCACTAAACTCAAACAATCCTATACTGGAATCATGATGGGGCTATTTTCAAGTGGTTGCATATGACCAGAAGTTGCTAGTTGAGGCCCATTTCATGTATTTATGACATGCCACTTGGAAAGTAAGTGTCAGTAGGAAGGTCAGGCTCAAGGTTCTAGCCACTGTTGCTTGAAATATCAGAGGAATTTTTGTACTTGGAACTTTCTGTTATTACCCTCACAAATACGACAGTGCTGTGGGTGTTACTTGTAGATTAGGAGCACTGTTTGCTCTGTAATGTTTACTTTAATATAATGTGGAGGGAGTTCTAATCATATGGTGATAAGAGGTTTCTTGACTAGAATGTATAGAGATTTCACACAGCAGAATAACCCAAAGTTTGCCCAAAAGACAGGGCAACTTGCTAAGAGCCTGCTGCCACAAGTAGTCATACAAGACAGAGAGCAGATCAAGATAGAATACTGCATGCTGGGAACTGTAGTGTCCACAATCCACATCACTGTATCAAATATAAGAGTGCACTCTGGCCACCCAGGGTGTAAGAGCTGCAAAGCTGCCCAATCCCACCATCTGAACGGCGTACAAAGCAACTTGTCTTGACAAGTAAATATTCCTAAAAGCAAATCCACTGATGCTTCATAAATCAAAGACTGATTATAAATAAATCAGAAATCAAAGAACTAGTTAAATTCATGGAGGATAGGTCCATCAATGGCTATTAGCTAGGATGGGCAGGGATGGTGTCCCTAGCCTCTGTTTGCCAGAAGCTGGGAAAGAGCGACGGGGGATGGATCACTTGATGATTACCTGTTCTGTTCATTCCCTCTGGGGCACCTGGCATTGGCCACTGTTGGAAAACAGGATACTGGGCTAGATGGACCTTTGGTCTGACCCAGTATGGCCGTTCTTATGTTCTTCTGACTGTTTGAAATGTGCCAATTACACTCCATGTGCAGTATATATATTTTTAAGTTCTACATGCATGAGGCACTTTTGGCTGAAGCCCTCACAATGATTCTGAAATGCTCAAACAGGCTGGGCAGGAACAATGCATCTCACCTTGGCTTGTTCAGACTCCTCCTTTGTTAGTATAAAGAGAACATCCTGGGACTGGAGGCAGCTAATGGGCACATCCAGGATGGAGATGTACTTCCGGAGGAGGTTTACTGACTTGAGGGTAAGGACCCGGCACCCTGAGCAGAGCAACAGGAGAAAGAATGCAAGACAACAAGATGATTACGAGCTCACAGCATCACGAGGGTAGGCAAAGCCCCCAGCCTCCTGTGTGACAGCCCACCAGGAGTCCAAATTCTGTCAGAACCTACTTTTGTGCCGTGTGAATTTCTATTAAATTCTGTTTGCTTCTTAGCTATTCTGCTGAGAGCAAACTTGGATTCCCAAGAAGGAAACCTGGGTTTAAAGGGTGGATGCCTTTTTATGACAATCTAAATTATTTCTGAACTTGTTTGGGCCCAGTCCTGGTCCCATGGGAAGGCCCTTTGAATGCCAACACTGTATCATTTGAAGGTAGTTAAACAAGCAGCCCTCGGTTCATTTGACTGTCCTTCTAATCCAATTTTCAACATGCTTTGCTACAGAAATGAGTGTTTTCAGGGTCCAGGAATGACTGCATGAGATATTAACACAGGCAGGTGATTACATGTTAATAGGAGCTCAAAACCCATCACTTGGATGTTTGTCATGCAGGGGGTGAAAGGAGCATGCAGAACAGATTCAGCTATGGTTCATTTATTTCCCCTGATTCTAAGAAACCTTTGAACTCAAAAGTTAATTGCTAAATTTCTTTCATGGCTAAATTGTATTTATTGATGAGCTCAGCTGATGGTCCCATTAAGGAAATGTAGCTCTTTGGGAAAGTGCCTTGAGATTTCCTGACACTTCAGAAGCTGAAGTTATTATGCGCCTTACTTTAGACATTACTTTGAGTTTGACAGATGAGAACAGTCACATTGTATAGACATAGTAGGATCTGCAATCAGATGCATTGCAGCATGCCCCTGCAATCTGAATGAAACTCTGAAGGGAGGGTGCAAAGGGAGGCCTGAACTGTCTCAACATCTGTATCATTTTAACTCCAGGAGAACCCAAGATCACACATCTAATACAGCTTCAGTTGGAGCCTGAGGTCCTTCTCCGTTGTCATTATGTTCTCACGGGGCACAAGGATCACAAAGTGAACATGAAGCAACTTGATGGTTCTCAGACAAATGGGACATGATGCTGAAATCCAGGAGTGGCTCACTGTTCTCTGAGGGAAGAAGTTAGCTGAGGTTTGACTGGCTCCAAGTCAAGGAGAGAAGAGGGACCCTCCTCCTAAAAGTCTCTAGGGAACGTGCATTCGTCATTCTGTGCCCACCAAAGTAGCTGGGAACTTGGGGTGCTGCCTTTGTGCTGTGAGTTCTCTAGACTTAGACAGACACATATTACTTACTAAGGGCCTGGTGCTGGGGGTGCAGAACACTCTGACTCCCACTGATTTCACAGGATCAAGCTCAAGTTAGTTTCACTAAAACCCATCATTCTAATGCAAAAGTGGCTCAGGTCCAGGGTGGGAAAGCAAGAGCTCTTGTTCATACACTGAGCGAGCTATCTGTGGAATTCCTGGAGAGGGGCAGGGGGAGAAGCCACACAGAGGTCTCCGAGGTGTAGAATGAGGGGAGCAGCATGCTGATAAGACATTTAGAAGGAAGCTGTGGAATATTCTGGGCCGAGGAACAAAGAATGGAGACGGGGCAAGACCTCCAACTTTCTCCAGCCTCACAAATGAGTCGGTGCATATGGTTGCCCCTGGCCTATTCCTAGGAGGGGCACCAACCCACTTTGCTTTTATTTCATCAGAGGCCATCAGTGAAAGAACATTGTACGTTTTCTGGAAACCTCTCCTTCCAGCACCGCCTCCAGGCCCCTCAATTCCTCTTCCTCCCTCCAAAAGAAAGGTGAAGGGATTTTCCCCACCTTTCCACCCCATAATCATAATTGTTCCTGCTTTTGCATTAGTCACTGGTTATTAGATGATTTTTGCCTAGATTATGACCAAAGCTTGGCCAACACAATCTAACTAGATCAGCACTAACCTCTCCCAGTCTTCTTTCTGGAAGGGTTTGCAGCTGGATTGCTCCTGAGGGGTTAGTCACTGGCAGGCTTGACAGAGCAGAGATGGCTTTTAGCATTACCTTCTGCAGCTGCAGGGGGACAGGGCTGGCGGGTCAGAGGGCAACAGCAGGTTTCCATCCTGACCCAATGGTGCTAGAATAGAGAGTGACACAAGGTATGTGATCTGGAGCTTTCACAGAAGTGTCACATCAGTTCACCTGGCTGCAGGCTCTGACCTGACGGAGGAAGTCGGATGTTACCAGATAAGCCAGAGTAAATATTGTCCAGAAGGTGATCGATAGTTAATATTGACATTAGAAAAATAGCCAGGTCATAAAGAGACATTTCCAGCAGATGGCGCTCTCCAATGATAATTGTAGATGGAAGACAGCACCCATCAGATACAAACTAGTGCTCCAATTTACCAGATGGCAGCAAGCTCAGAAGCCTGCCTTTCAGCACATTCATCATGTCAAAGCTGTACCATGTACCTGGTCCATTCCTGTTAAAGTGGCAGCAATTCAGTGGAACACCGGCCTGTTAAAGGTCACTGCGCCTTCTCTGCAGCAGGTGGCTGGGGAAGGGGTGCAGGGGCCTGTTGTCCTACCAGGCAGCTTACAACTAGGCCACGTGGAAGTATTGGACACCAGAAGCCCTGAAACCTGTGTGCCAGGGATACTTTGTACCACTCCCCTTCCCTTGCACCAAAGACATTGCCCTTTGCTTCCCAATTCCTAGCAGCTGGGAGGGCTCACTACCTGCTACTGGAAAGCAAAATCATTGCAAGTGAATTTAGTACAGGTGAAAGGTGCCAGTTTGCTACCCTACAGGCTGAAGTCCTCTATGCACAGAGCGGGAACAGCTTAGGCCGCTGCAATTTAAGCTTTAAGTAAAGGAGCTGTTTGCGTTAGCAATCCGACCAGGGTCATGAGGCACCACCAGCAGAGATCACTTTGAATGAGAAGAAGAGATGAAACGAAGCTGGTAGGGAATGTACAGTCCAGCTACAGATGGGAAGGGCTCAGAGACTCAAAGCCCTTCCTGCCAGCCAGGGTAGGAGAAAGGGAATGTCCAAGTAGAGCTATTGATGGGCCTGCTCATTTGACACCCTCAGGCGAAGTCTTGTGGAGGAGACGGTTGTGACTGTGACCCCAGGGTAGATTTAAGATTATTAGTCAGCTGCTTTACCAATTGTCTGGGTTAACATGACCTCTCTAGCTAGCGGATCATCTGCTGGAGGTCTGAAGCCCAGTCACCTTGGCTTTCTGTTTCAACAAATGTATGCAACAAGTGTGCCTGGAATGAAGTAGGCTCTTAGCAGAGCTATCTCTGACAGGGGGCTTGCATTGCTTCTGCTAGATGTTAGTACACTGGCTCTTCTGGCTGGGAGCTGGTTATAGCCAGGAGGTGGCTGTACCATGGATATGTGCATACCAGCTGTCCCCAGCTCCTGAATCAGGCCTACTTGCTCAGAGCTGGCCGGGAGGACACCGCTTCAGTTTAAAAGCTACCTGCTATGGCCACACTCGATATGGGAATTAGGAAGCAAAGTAGGATGCTCGGGGTACTCATTTGCATACCACTGCCCAAAATGCCCTCCTAGCTCAGAGGATACAGCGAAAGACTATTTGCAGAATGATTTTCTGTGGGCTCTTCGATCCCATGAGCTTACACCGGTTCAACGGCACACAGGTCCCAGTTCCTGGCAAGGGAGCATTCACAATAAAGAATGCTCCAGACAGCCTAGGCAGGCCCCGACGTCACTCTCATTTCATTAAGTCCTTCTGATGCATGGCCCTGCATGCCTGCCAGATCAAATTATAAATACCGGGAATTTCAATGAGACTGGAACTATATTTGGAAAGGCTTAATGTAAGCAGCAACATGGGAGCTCCCTACTCCTTTGGCATTTGTAGGTCATGTAAGATGTGATGTAATCAGAGCAGCTAGCCTCATGCATATCTTCAGAAGCCCACTGGCGCAGCCAGAGAAACTGAGGCGCCATCTATGCTGGTTTTACACTGGTTATCTGAACCAGTTTTAGACACAGTCTGTCTGGCCTGAGAGGGCAGGGCCAAACCATGCTTAAACCAAGCCTAGTCAAACTCATTAGCCTGTTGAAGTGGGTTCATCATAGATGGGGTCTGACATATTTGCCTCCTTGCAGCATGGCAGTAGGCACTTGCTTTTCATTGTTCCCAGCACTTTGCAGCTACCCCCGCTGCTCATGCTGTGCCCAATCTCTGGACAATACTCAGCACACACACTGCTCTTTGCCCATTTAAAATGCGGCATGGATATAGCCCCCCAGGTCTCCCATGGGGAGAGGGCAGTGTGAGCATTCCCATTCGCAGATGGGACACTCAAGGCACAGCCAGAGGACGTGACCTGACTGTGGCCACAGAGTTGCAGAGTCAGGATAAAAGCGTAGGAGATTCTGGCTTCTGGGCCCACGCTCGCTCCACTACATGGGTGACCTCAACCTTTAACCACTCGGGAAGCAAAAGCAACTCTCTATGACGCATCCACAACCCTTCTGATCCACAAAGGATTTGAGATTAGGGTAACGGCAGCAAAGTGTGGATGGTTTTTGGATGCTGGGTGGGGATGACCGGACTGGCTGGGGATCTGCATGCCCTGGGGCAGAGCTGACTCCTCCATGAGTTCCTTCCCAGAGCAGATCACTGGGAGGAGTGGGGGAGAGATCAGGGCTGAGGATCTGCTCTGGGATTGGGTAGCATGGAGTAAAAGCAGGAGGGTGGTTAGGATGCATGTTGCTCTTCCTCTCCTCTGCTTTGGCTACTGCTGTCCCACAGTGTGGACAGAGGCCTTTGCTTAGACCCCTGCTAGCCAAACAGTATGACGGACCATTCCTCCAGTTAGCATCCATAGCACAGTTTTAATATATGCTTCTCATACTGCCCACGTTGGTGAGTGAAGCTGACCTAGGATAATATAGCTAGGACTGCGTTTAAACTTGGCTATAAAACCATTCTCAACAACGATGTCATTGAGTTAGAGTTCTCCATCTGTTTGCATTGCTAAAGCCCTTTTCACCTTCATGACTAGGCCTAATATTGTATCTAAAAACAGACAAATCAAAAGAACTGGAGAGTGAGGCAGAGGCCTGGAAACAGCAGCCATGTGCTCAAAGCAAGAGGCCAAGAAGCAGAGCTGGTGTCACACAATCCAGACAGGACAAACACACAGGGTGAGAAGAGGGTGCCTTTGAGCCTAACCCAACTCCCCGCCTGAGTCACGCTAATGCCCAGGCCCAGAAGAAGGGACTGCACAGGAGCGTGAGCTCAGGAAAAAGCATGAAAGAGAAATCTGCAGCTGAACTCCCGGTTGCATTTGCATTGCAAAGAAGAGGTGGATTATTCCAATGGGGACTTGGACAGAACATGCAAGTCAATAGACCGATCCTGTCTGCAGTGTCACTGATGCTTTTGTTTAAACGTGTGTGACGTACCTTCAGGTAACTTCCCCTCTGACTGCAGGGACCTGTGAATTGAAACAGAGACCATGGTGAACATATGCCAAGGCCACGCGAAGCCGTCTTTAAATATGTATAAGCACTAAGGGCTACATCACACACAACCGAAAACTCACAATGCCAGCCCCTAAAATAAACTTTCTGGAGCAGACACTGGATGTCCCAGCTCCCACTGACCCTGCAAGACAGCAGGTTTGGTTCCCCGCAAATGATTTTGCTCCTAATCCATCACTACTTTCCTTGTCCTTACTGCTGGATGGCTGGTGGGGCAGGGGACAAGCCCTCCCCACCTACAATATAGGAAACTCTGCAAGAAGCTACCAAATACCACTTGTTCTTTAGGGTCCTGTCTCTAACGACCTGGGACACTGGCACCCCTCTAGCAAGCCCTGCTGTACAGAAGACTTGCTAGGGAAGTACTAGCCAGGTTTCCCCAGCCCATGTCGACAGGACTCTGCATATTTAACCTAATCACGTCACTCTGTCCACAAGCGCAAGTGTTTGAACCCACTTCTGTTTCCATTGTTCGAAGCAGCTTGTGAACAGACACTGGTTCTGGCCTGGCCCAGAGTAGCTGCTCTCTTTTTCACTCAGTGACAGAGTCTGCGGGTTCAGTGACTTCGTTCTGAGGAGAGGTGCCCTATAGAGAGCCCTGCAGACAGTTATCCTCTAGTTATCCAAAGAGCAGAGACAGCACGGGCAACCGCAGGACAAACTTCCCCCATGCTGTCCCCACAGTGGGCCTCAATCCCAACCCAGAAGGATTTCTCAAAAGAAAAAAAGTCTTTAGAAAACAGAGCAGAGGGGGCCCAGTTCAGTGGAGATCTAAACAGTGGTGTTATTTACATCAATAAGTCCGGGTGGGTGTCACATGCTGAAGGAGTGGGAGGGTGGTTAGCCTCATTCCCCTTTAACGTTCCTGTTTTTCCTGCTACAACTCTGCCCTTCCCCCTCTGTGTGTAACTCACAACAGCTTACACTCATAACACCATTTACATCTCCACTGAGTTTGGCCCAGCCTGCTGGTTGCTGGACCTGTAGATTTCCAGTAGATGGCAGCAGGAGTTACATAGCTAGGCTTGTTCTTGTTGAAGGAAAAACAAAATAGAAAATGGACCATTTGGGTGAAAAAAAGGTTATTTAACCCTGTGTAATATTGAAAGAGATTGTTATCGTCTCTTACTGGTGCATTTCATGTGTAAATCAACCTGGGCAAAACGTACATTGTATGTAAACTACATTGGGCCTCTAGTCATTTTCAAACTATGATTATCTCTAGTTACTGGTTAGTTTCGAGGAAAGGGATTAGCCATACAGGCATAGACAAAATAGGAAGCGCTGGGTGATGAATACACAAAGCAATTCAAAGCAAAAGTCAAGCCAGAAATGCAGGACATGGCAGTAGTCAAAAGCAGTGATCAGGAGACCATTGCCCTAAACAGATTCTTCCAGGAATAGGAGTACTTGTGGCACCTTAGAGACTAACAAATTTATTAGAGCATAAGCTTTCATGGGCTACAGCCCATTTCTTTGGATGCATATCTCTGCATTAAAAGATTCCTGCAGCCTCAGCTCCCCTTAAAGTCAATGGGAACTGAGGGCCCTTAGCACATCATAGGTGCTCAGCTTGCAAGATTAGGACCTCATTGTTTAAGCAAAGTTTCCATTGGGCCAAGTCCTGAGGTCCTTATTTTTATTCAGTCAATACTGCCAGTGAAGTGTATGAGCCAGCTCCTGAGCAGCCCTGAGCACAAGCAACTTCCACTAAAGTCAATAAGGAGTGAGTAAAAAGCGAGTGAGGATTTCAGGGTTTGGCTCACAGGGAACTTGGAGAGCAGGAAACTCCACTGAAAGGGAAGCATAGTCCAAGTCCCAGTGGGTAGATTGCTGTGTTGGTGACACACAGAGAGAAATTGTTCCATGAAATCCATGACTTCACTCTAAGAAGGTCCCACTGTGGGGAACATAAAACTCTACACTGTATTCACTGGGCTATCTGCTAAGGCATACTGAGGAAATACAGTTTGCCGGAGCATAGCAGGGAATGCAAGGCGCAGCTGGGGCTCCATTTAGGTTCCTGTCCCCTAATCTGCCCAATTAATCTGATGAAATAGATGTGGAGCAGGAAGAGCAGCCAATCTCCTAGGAGTCCCAGGGATGTTACTTACAGTGAGAGATTTGCCAGATGTTGAATGTTTACAATCTGAAATACCTCCCCCACCCTAACTGGACTGGCCAGCTGCATTTCCCCTGCACCCTGAACTGCACTGTGTAGGCAAAACACAGTTTAATGCATTCAGACAATCTACACTCATTCATATTTCAGCAACAAAGGATAGGGCCTCGCCAATTCAAAGTAATCTGGAGAAGGGGTGACCCAGGGATCTTCCAGTTCACAAATGACGGAGCTGCTTCATTGCTCACACTGCCTTCGCCTCCGCACTGTGTGAGAGTGGAGTGTGGAAAGGTTACAGCTTCAATCAGCTACATGAACAAACTGCTAAAATCTTAATGATCTGGGGGAGGCCATTCCCAGAGGGATCTATTATTTTTGTTTAAGCATGGTCACTGTTACCAAGGAAACAGCTTTGCTGAGTACTAACAAATTTGGTGCCTTCTGCTCAGTTTATTTTTGTGGCTCTCAGCTCATGGGGGAGGCATCAGAACAACCTCGGCACAATAAAGAATGAGGAAGGGGCTGGAAGCAGAAGGAAAGAGGCGAGATTCAGAAAGGGAATTTATAAGCTGGCAATCAGGATGATGTATTATAGCTGTGGGCTGACTCTCCAAGGAAAGTGGTGGAAGCCCAATCATTTGAGACCGCAAACACCAGGCTGGACAGAGCACTAGAAAAACATATAGTGGAAGACCATTTTACCCGGGGTCCATGGAGATGGGCTGCACGGACCTTAGATGGCACTCCTGTCTCTAACCTCCTTGATTCTCCCCATCCCTTGGAATTAGTAAAGCTAGGCTAGAAAAAACACCGGAACATATACAGTACAGAACAACCTTGACTCTGCAAGGAGGGACTGCAACATGAGGTCCCGGCACCAGAAGGAAAACGTTCAGGCCTCAGCCGTTCCTCCTTCGGACTCTCGGAGCTAGAACACAGACAGATACTAAATCACTCAAAATGAATCATCTCAGGAAATCCTTCTCCAGGATGGAGTGAAGAGGCGTCCAGGAAAGGGGAGGAGGGTGACATGGGAAAACACAGGGCTACATTATGTTTTCACTTACATGGGGTAAATCAGGAGTAACGCCATTGAAATTAATGGGGCACAGTTGTGTAAAACTGGTGTAAGATCAGAATCAGGCCCAAGCTCTCCATCAGTGTGGGAAGACGTCCAAGACAAAGGGAGCAGTGGGTGCCACATACCATCATCCACCTCATCATCTGAAGAGGAACCTGCTATTTGCACATTGTGTCTCTAAGCATGAGCTGGAATTTGTATGTCATAAGGAAATTCTGCAGTCTTCAGCCTCAAAGGGAGTTTTGTCAGAGTGAGATCTGCAGGATTTGGCTGGATACTGGCCATTTTCTTTACCTATTTGCAATTGGCATTTAATTAAACCCCATACCTGAATATGTCCCAGTACAAGGTACACGGGACAGGAAATGCCCTTTTCTTTTGTACATGTCCCAAATACAAATCAACTCTCTGATGGCAGCCATACACAGCACATGAAAGATCCACGCCAGGGCACTTAACCACAACAAAGCATCAATGACACTCAAACAGCATCATTATCAGCTCATAAATGATAAAACACTAAGCTCCCAAATACCATCTCCACAGGGCTTCATTTAGAACCCACCGCTGAGTTTACAGCCATTTGGACGCAAACTGGAGGAGTCAGATCGTTTTTCCGAATGGAATTGACAAGAATTGCTCAACTAATGATACCTTGATGTAGCTTTCTACGTGGCATCGTTGATATAAGTTTTATGGATGCAGTTGCTATAACAACATAATGCACAGTGGTTAAATATAGCAGCTCCTATTTTCCACTCAGTTTGCTCTGGCCTAAGCAGCGAAGGGATTGTTCTTTCATATTCTAAATGGGAAGAGATGGATTTCACTAGAGGAAGTGGGTGTGCAAACCCCAGTACAGAATGTTCCATTTTATCTTAAGCCAACAAAACACACATTCGCTAGGCAGAAGGGTCTGTTTAAAATGGAAATGCCCTGTGACTCATGCAAACCAAAATCACCTCGATGCCATCCATGACATCAGTGTAAAACCCCATCTTTATAAAACAAAAGTGCTTCTAATCATCGACTTCTAAAACACAGGTTCTCAAACTTGTCCATCACATGCACCTCATCAGTAATCATGTTTATCCTCGTAGTGCGTAGGGACCAACCGAGAACCCATTGTGCTAGGCACCGTACAACAGAGTAGAAGACAGTCCATGCCATGAACTGCTTACAAGCTAAATAACTTCATGTTAAAAGAGGCTTGTCTCAGGGTCACCTCCCCTCTTGTTCATGATGGGTTGGAGCCACCTCCCATTTCCGATCCCAAAGCAACCTTGTGACGACTGCAGCAGTAGCTTATGAGGAGGAGGTGGTGTATGAGGACAGCATAGATGTATTGTTAGCTGGCTTCAGTGTAATAAAATAGTCACATTGTCTCCTTTTGTTCATTTTGTCTCTTCTTTCCACTGCTCTGTCTCTCTCAGGAGTAACCATTGTTACGTGACTAGCCAGCTCTTCATGGACCACCAGCAAGTGCTCTGTGGCCACCAGTTAGCCACAGAATACAGTTTGAGAAATCGTGCTATAAAACGAAGCCAATCAGTGCCATTTGATGGATGTAAAATGAGTTTGGTGAGTCTCAGATCAGCCACAGATGTCACCCCTGCCCCTACAACAGGCTGTGTTCTTGGCAGTCTCCCCAGACTGAATGGGCGATGAAGCTTCAACCTCACATCCTTTAGAGGCTGGGGCAGGGGGCAGGATGGGATAACTTGCACTGCTGCTGTCCATACCGTGCCTGTTCTGTGGAAGGATTTCAGCCTCCAGCACTGTCAAACTAAAACTTCTCAGTAGCAGACTCTTGTATACTTACACATTTAAAAGGCAAAAACTGGGATAAGGCAAGTGGCTTAATTACTGGGCCATTAGGGCATGTAGCTTTGCAAACAGGGGAGGAACCATGGTATGTTTCTGGAGCCACCTCTTCTGACAGAGACATGGTGAAACATCCAGCCCCTCTTGGCCAGAGAGCGGGTTCCTGGGACATGGGAGCTTTGAGCATGCTGGGGAGAAGAGAGGACTCTCCCAGGACTTCCTTCCAAAGAATCCCAAAGCACTGGTACTGGAAGATGATGGGGTGGGGCCCATTACAGGGACGGTGTCCATCACTTCATTCTTATGTGAAAAGAATTTTGTAAAAAAAAGTTTCTTTTCTGTTGGTTTGGGGCTGCATTCAAAATCCCCACAAGAAGATTTCAAGCAAAATGCTAATGTATGCTTTTTATTTCCTGCAGAAAAACAAACCCTCCCCACAAGCCCTGAAATTGTATAGCTATCCACAAATCTGGGGCTTGGACACATATGAAATAGCAGCAACTGGACCAGCCACAAAAGCAGTATGTCGGGAGACTGGTATATGAGAGAATCCTGGGATTGGTCATGCAGCCCACTCCACCCCTGCCTTTGGAGGGCATGAGGCAGAAGTGACAGGGTCAAACGGGGTGCAAAATCATTTAATTAATTGGAATAGCACCCCAGTTTACCTTTTCCATTTACAAGAGTGTCGGGGGGACCCTGCAAGACACAGTTTGAAAGACTAACTGTGTTAGTCCAATGAAAGTACCATACCTGGTACTAGCTGACACGGAGATAGGGAGGGAAGAGAGTTAATTTGATCTCTTTGCTGCTTTTTTCCCCATACAGTCATATGGAATGGGGGGCAGCGGCAGGCAGGAACATCAGTGCGTGTGAAAGGTCACCGCACATGCTCTGCAGCTCTGTCTGAAAGCTGTATGTGTGAGAACTCATCAGGGCACAGAAACCATGAGTGATGTGGTCATGCTCTAGTTCCTCCGTGAGACAGGCTGCCCCCTCCCCCAAAAAATTAAAGCAGCAGTAGCCACTAAAAATAAAACTTAACCCCTCAGTAGCTGTGGAGCTGCTGGATTAAATGAATGAGAGCAGAGAGTGACTCTGTCTTTGGGGAGAAGACACATATTAAAGAGAACAAAAACAATGAGGAGTCCGGTGGCACCTTAAAGACTAACAGATTTATTTGGGCATAAGCTTTCAAGGGTAAAAAACCCACTTCTTTTTACCCACGAAAGCTTATGCCCAAATAAATCTGTTAGTCTTTAAGGTGCCACCGGACTCCTCATTGTTTTTGTGGATACAGACTAACACGGCTACCCCTCTGATGTTAAAGAGATGCAGGCCCGCTAGATGGCAGGGGATGGAGTTCAGGGGCCAGAGTCTCTTCCATTCCATTTTTCTAAATCCATCAGTGCACAAGGGACGTGAGTTATGCGTCACATTTTGGTGAAAGTACATTCATAACACAAAGCTAGGAGTCAGAAAGTGTAGATACAAAGGGGCCCAGAACAGGATCAGCAGAGTGGGGGCTTGCAAGCCCACAATGAGGGGCACGAGTGGAGAAATACAGGGAGAGCACAGGAGTAGAACAGATGGGGTGCACAGGTCACAAGTGCATTGGCAGAGTTTTGGGCAGTTCCGACAACTGGAATAGCAGAGGGTGCTGCAGGTCGGGATTGAGGTGAATCGGTGGAGTCCATGCAGTCGTTGGCTCTAGTATGAATCTTTTACTTGCACAGGCATCACATGCACTTGGTTTCAAATAGCATTTTGGCAAGGCACGCAATGGACTGTACGGGACATCGTACCTTAGAGCAGTGTAAAGGGCGATGTGGTTAGCGTGGCCGCTCACTCCTCCTGCATCAAAGGTTATCACCTGCAAAAAAACCCACAGAACACAGTTATTTAGCAGAGGAGCAGAGTGTGCAGTAAAAGGTTGCAACTAAATTCTAGGGGGTTGGGCATTTGTGTAACTCAGCATTGTCCTGGCCAGAAGTCTTCAGTGAGTCCTGGGTTTATAAAGCAACGAGCACAATGGAATCCTGGTCCATGACTAGGGCTCTGAGGTGCTACAGTAATACAAATAATACATACAATAAAATCATCATAATAATTCAGACACCCTGGTGCTGAGAGAAGGAGAAAAGCCTAGACAGAAAGATGAGAAGTGTCACTTCCTGAGTATCAGGATACACATGTTACTAATAATAATCAGATCTCACAGTTACTCTGAAGAAGTTCTCTCTTATAAACTCCTGGTTACTAGATCCAGGAGAATCTATTATACAAGCCACTTTCTCCTGGAGTTGACAGATTTCTGGGGTGCATGTGAACTACAGGGCAAGACTGTGCTTTGCTAGGCCCTAGATCATGACATTATCACACAGGCAGGAACAGCAGGCTCCATAAATCACTTTTTTGCCTGTAATGGGAATGCACTTCAGGATCACACTGTGAAAAAAACAGCCTGTTACTGGAATACGTTATTTTAACCAACCAGCTAACCGTGTCCTGGGTTTGGCTAAGGCCTTGGCTACACTTGGGAATTCACAGTGCTGCGAAGCGCAAGTGCAGTCGCGCCGCCAGCGCTGCGAGAGCTCTCTCTGTATGTACTCCACCTCTCCGAGGGGAGTAGCATGCAGCGCTGCAGGCACTGATTACACTGGCGCTTTACAGCGCTGCACTCGCTGCGCTGGGGGGGGGGCATTTTCACACCCCTGAGCGCAGCAAGTTGCAGCGCTGTACAGCGCCAGTGTAGCCAAGGCCTAAGGCAGGCTCTTGGTCAGTCTGGAACAATAGATTATTATTTGTCTGCACCGGGAAAGGTTTTATTTCATTAATCAAAGGTAGTGTGGGCTGTGGGCTGCGGGCTGCAAAGAAATCAACACCTCCCTAGTGTCTCCTTTCTTGCCCAGCCTGTTCTGTCCCTTCAGTACTGGGAGGAAATGCCACTGCCTTGCTTACTCACAACTGTTCCTTTCTCCGAAGCAGTTTCACAGGGAACGCCCAAAGCACTGGGTAAAAGGTTGAGGGAAGATCAAACAGTCTCCCCACCTGCTTTGCAACCCGCTGCTCCACCCACCCAACAGGAAGAGCAGCCAAGGCATCCCTTTCAAACACAGAAGGTGCTTTGTGAACAACAGTCTAAGACAGACTACACTTTCTCACTCAGAGATGTGAAAAAACACCCCCCTGAGCAGTGCAAGTTTCAGCACTGTAAAGTGGCAGTGCAGACAGTGCACCAGCGCTGGGAGCTACTCCCCTCGTGAGCTACTCTCCCAGCGCTGGTGCCGCAACTACACAGCCACATTAAAGCTTTGCCGCGGCAGCATTTTAATGTTGATAGTGAAGACGTACCCTAAGAGAGATCCAGAAAACACAGGCACTGGACAAGCCTTTTGTAAATGCTCTCCACCCTAGGAGAGGCCCCAGTTACACTTTTCATTTTGCTCAGCAGCTGTAATTTGGTGCAATGAGTTTGGCTACGCAGCAGAAGAATTAACTGGATCATTATTTGACTCTTAAAAATATGTTTGGTGGGAGCCCCACTGGTTTTTGCCAGACATTAAGAGTTGTTTCCTTGATATCTCTTTCACACCGAGTAAATTTGCATAACGCAGTGCTGCCCCTTTTTCTGTACTTTGGCATCTTTTTGAGAGGTTATTCCCACTAAAGGCATGGTTCTGTGAGGTACTGAGCTTGCCTGATCCTCACAGATTTCAGCTCCTACAGTATGTCACATGATCAGGCCCTAAGGCAGGGAGCTGGTAGAGTTACTATAAAACATCAGACAGTGCAATGAATTCACATGGAGCTCTATACACCAGAGATAAGACACTGTCCTTGCCCCCAAAGAACTAACAGTCTCAATTCACCTTTACACTGAGTCGTACATTTCTTATGTCACAATTAGTCCCAATGATTTTAATAGGAGTAGCAAGGTGCTACTCCACATAAGTAAGAGTGGGAGAATCTGGCCCTAAGACAGGACATATTTACAGACACACAGCAGCTTGTATTTTAAAAAATCCTACCAAAACAAAACATACTTCACTGGACGCATGCATCGTCCTCTGTGGAGAGGATGAGTGAATAAGCCACCCATGACAACCGTTAGTCACCTCACTTAGGCTATTGAATGACAAAACTTAGGCTACTGAATGGCAATTGAATGACAAAACTTTTGTCTTTCAGAGGTGTTAATCCCCTCCCCCGAAAGACAAAAGTTTTGCCGCGACAAGTGCCGGCGTGAACAGTGCGTTGTCGGTCTTCTGCCGACAACACAAACGCCGTTCGTTGGGGGTAGAAGTTTTTTGTTCTCAGGAGAGCCGGCAAACAGCGGCAACACTGCACGACTTTTAGCAGCATGGCTGTGGTGACACAGCCAGGTCGTTAAAAGCTGTGCAGTGTAGACATAGCCAAAATGTGCTACTGGAAGGTGCTCAGATACTGGGGGGATGGGAGCGAGATAAGAATCTCTGTCTATCATACATAATTAAAATAACAAATAGCTTAAATTGGGATAGTATCTGAATGGGCTAGACAGACTGTACCGGATTGATTTTCAAATGATATTGCTTAACTCATGCCCAAGATATTTGCATGTGAATCTACTGTGCCTACAAGCTTGCAGATGTGTGTGCAATTATCCATTGTACTCATCCAGTGACTTGTCTTGTAGGAGAAACACGTATGGGTGTACATTTTACCTGCATAATTTAGGTGATTACCTTTGAAATGTTGGCCCTGTATTCACAGGTATCACTTCATTCACTGCTGACACATAGCTTATGATGGGCAGTGACATCTCATCTGTCCAGTATGTAGTGTTTAGGGTCTATCACACAGGCCACTGATTTCATATAGTCTGGTTGCTGTATTCATTACTGCTAGTATTCTGAAAACATGCAGCAATCATATTTAAATGCATTCTCCTGGCCCCTGGGAATTTATTTTATAATCTGACTTTCCAGTTTGTCTCTCACATGTTGGAGATAACTTTCACAGAGGAACTTTTGCTCCTTCCACACAGTGCACCAGTTACGTGTTTGGTTTAAAAACATAACCCAAACCTGCTGATGATGAAAGCAAGCAAGCAATCAGGATAGGATAGGACAACCTGCACATCTTGATTCTGCCTGGGCTGGAACACAGGCTTGACTATTTCTGTGATCAAGAGGCTGGGATAGGAAATATTCTTGACATGGAAATAATCTGTTCGGTGGAATCTTTGGGGGTTTCCTTCTCCACGTCTGCTCTGAAAAGGGAGCCGGTGCTGATGTGTTTTCTTTTTCTGGATGACCTTGGTATCTAGGAGATGGAACTTTCACTGGTGGAAGCCAGCAATGCAGCCAACATAAACAAGGAACCAGAAATCCCTTCCGGAGGGGGCGAGGAGCACAGAGGAAATCTGCTCAATTACCAGCAGAAGAGCTAAGAGCTCTAGAGTCTGAGCTTCCTCTGCAAATCATGCACACTGGAGAAGAAAAACATTAAAAGTTGTGGGTCTCCTGACTCTTGCTGGCACTGTCTAATATTTTAAAATGCAGCTCACCTCTGCTCAAGGAGACCGACGGGATAGATATTTTCCTTTCTGTGGAGCAAATTCTCTGTTCTTTCCTAGGAAGTGGGCCATCCAAGAAAACACTGTAGGAGCAACCTGCTTTTATAGCCCCATTTCCTCCACATATAATTTTTACGGGCCTGGAAAGGTCATTAGAAATTACACCCTATGCTGTCACCTCTTTGGCCCTTTGTGGGGCAGGTTTTTGGAAGACATCCAGCTGGATTTGGAGAGCACTTTGGCCCCCTCCCACATCCTGTTAAACAAGAGAAGCTATAATTTAATATAATGGGCTATTGGGCAAAAATCAAACCACAGTCTGCGTCGCAGCGCTGGCTGGACTGGAGCTGCAGATGTCTGAGTGAGTGCCAGCTCTTTAGGAAAGCCCACAGGACCTTTCATTCTCTCGCCTGCCTCAAACACACCTGATAAAACTACAGCACAAAGAAAGGTGAGAGAAAGCAGGGATGGCAGAGATTCTTGCAAGAGTGCATTCTTGTACAGCAAACTGTGCATGCTGCATTATGTTCCCAGTGTCCTGCAAAGCCATATAAAGTCCTTTCTACACTAGAATATCAAATTTGAGTCTCTTGAATTTCAGGAGCTGGGGGATTCTGATTCAAAACCCCAGATCTGAACCCAACATCCAGAGTTTGTATTCCAGGTTAAATTCCAAAACTAGAAGGGGCCTGGCTGGTTTGGATGTGGCCCAAGATGATGGGAATCTTTCTAGAGCAGTTGAAGTTGAGAGATTTCCACCAGTCCCAAGTGGAGAGCAACTCATAAGATTCTGGTACCTTTGAACCCCAGCTCTAGCTCTGCCCCAACACAATCTGAATGCTAGCTCCTCGTCCCATTTCTGCTTTCACCAAGCCTCCGATAACATTATTCCCTGAGATCCTGACTAGCAGGCATTGCATCATCTAGAGGTTGTCTGAGGCCCAAGCAATACCATGTAACATGCGGTACATTCACTAGGTACTTTCTAATCCAGATCGAGACAGACTGGCTTTGGCTGATTCTCCTGCAGTACTGGCTTTTGCTTAGAAATCCAGCAGGCAGGAAATCATTTCCAAAGTTCATAAATTAGTTTTGGCTTTGAGTTCACCAACCTTTAATTTCTGTGTCTCCACTATTTAACGTTGAGCTAGGATGACACATGTCCCTGTAGCTCTCAAAGAGATTGAGTTACTCACTGACTTCCAGGGCAATTGGGGAAATGAGTAACTATGTAATAGCACAGAAATACACAGAACATGGTGTGACACCCTCCTTTCAGACATGCTGGAACTCTAGCATGTCTCCCCATGGCCAAATGACACAGGAGTTCTGTAAATACGAGATATTGTTCTCTATGCAATGATTATGGAGAAGAGCTGGGGTAAGGTCTGATGCCTGTTTTAATGGGCAAAAAGGGTGTGTGTTTTTTAGTCATGTTAAGTCAACTGAGTTAGCTTAACATGTGTGAAGCCATGTTAGCCTGTAACTCAACCAGGCTTTTCAGTCATGCTAAGGTAAGTCAGCCAAGACAATGTGACTGAAACACCCAACGCTTTTTGCCCATCAAGGCCAGGACCCTAGTCTCTGGACAGCAGGGCCCCCCAAAGTGTGGACAAGAGCTACCTGTAGCCTACACCACAGAGTTTTACAAAGTAGAAGACACCCAAGTTGTAGGTGCTCAACTAAACAAATCAACTGCTCGTTTTCATTGTTGGCAAACTCTATTCCTACTACTGATTTAGGGAAGTTACAAGGACCAGCGACTATCTGGGCCATGGGCATTTATTCTGGAGGCTTAAAATTATGTAAATCTATATGCAAATATGATGCCACTGGCTCCTGGCGAGTTTCCAAGGTGGCCCTCTGTGGCAGTGACAAAGATTCATTTGTCTGGGAAACACATCTCCATTTACACAGACGAAGCTCAGAGCAGTTCAGTGAACTGTCTGAACATCTCCAGATAGAGGGATGCAGTGGGTCCCAAAAGCCATGGATCTAGACATTCAGGGTCCATTGCTCTCATCATTAATAAGGCTACATGCCATGCTAGCAGCACAGCATGAAGGGCACTTGCGATGTTCATGTTTCATGCTTTGAAAACAATGCACATGATTTTTCAACTCATGCCATATAATTGCAAGGGCTTAAGCCTCCTATGCCCTCTGCACCACACAAAGCTTGCGTTTAATTTCCTCTGAGACAGAGCTCCAACCCTTCCTCGTTATTCAGGAGAAGTTTTAGTGGATTCAGGATTTCTACTGGGACTTCGAAGGGTTTGCCCTGCTGCCCAAGAGAGTCAAGAACATGCAATGCAAGTCCTCTTGTGTTAAGAGCTTTCAGATCATATTAAAACTCCTGACTATTCACAGGGCCGAAATACACTGAATGACTGTAGGAAAGCTGCACCTGACTTCCCTGTGCACACCAATGAATGTCATGGATAATTAGCCTCAAAATCAATACAGAATTGGAAGCATGAGCTGTCTCTTGTTAAAGAGCTTTCAGTTCCTGTGTTACAAGACTCAGAGTGACTCTGATTCACAGTCTCTGCTTTCCTTTGTTGTCTTGCGTATTGCCGTGGGGTTTGTTTTTAATATTTTGTGAGTTTGGTGCTAAAGAAACATGAGGGACTGTAACAGTGCCGACCCACCGCCGCGGCGCTTCTTGCTGGTCGTGCTGGGAATTAGCTCTCTTGGACCATCAGGGTGCCTTTTACTAGCGGTGTCTTACTTGCGGTTGCTTCTACTTCCTCCACCGTCTCCGCCATCTGGGCCCATGTCGCTCCCAGACCGCTGTGTCCTCTTCGGGACCTGGCCTTCCGGCTGTGCCCCAGCCTGCTGTCTCCCCCCTTTCAGGGGACAGGTGGTCCTCAGCTTCTTCCACTTCCCTCAGCAGCCAACTGCGCTGCACCAGCAAGCCTTCTCCTTGTCTCCTCTCTCAATAAACCCTTTCCTGATTGGCTGGATGCTGCACAGCCTCTCCAAGGCTGCCTTAACCCTGCTCCTGCCTGTGTGGGGCAGCCGCCCCACACAGGGACTATCATGCCAGACTACAGTCAGGCTTAGCAGAGAGGGGTTTTGTGCATGTTTCCTCACTACGTAGTGCTTTCATCCTGTTCTGTAGAAACCCTACTGTTTCAGTCCTGGACTCCCACACAGACCATCCAATGCACTTGAGTCCTGAACAGCAATCCCCCTGGGATTCCAGTCCTGGATCCCAACACACATAACTGCCAACATATCTCAAACCCTGACCCTCAGACAATCCTGGGTTTTTCATAGATGAAGACTACCAGCTGTGACAAACTGTGGTTTTAAGACGTACACAAACATCCACTAGTGACTAGGGCAGAGGTGGGCAAACTATGGCCCGCGGGCCGGACCGTCCTGCCCAGCCCTTGAGCTCCTGGACGGGGAGGCTAGCCCCCGGCTCCTCCCCCGCTGTCCCCCCTACCCCGGAGCCACGCTGCCGCGCGGGCAGTACTCTGGGCAGCAGTGTTGTGCACTCCTGCCGAGCAGCGCAGCAGCGTGTCTGGCTCCGGCCGGGAGGCGCGGCTACCAGACATGCTGCTCTGAGCGGCATGGTAAGGGGGCCGGGGTCCCAGGGGCAGTCAGGGGACAGGGAGCAGGGGGCGGTTGGATGGGGCAGAGGTTCTGGGGGGCAGTCAGGAGATGGGAGGGTTGGATAAGCATGGTGGGGGTGTGGATGGGGTCAGGGGATGGGGAACAGGGGGGATCGGATAGGCGTGGGGTCCCGGGAGGCCTGTCAAGGGGCGGGGATGTGGATAGAGGTCGGAGCACTCGGGGGACTGGGAGCAGGGGTGATTGGATAGGGGGTGGGGTCCTGGGAGGGGGCGGTTAGGGGACAAGGAGCAAGGGGGTTGGATGGGTCAGGGGCTCTGAGGGGGGCAGTCAGGGGGCAGGAAGTGGAAGGAGGCGGATATGGGGCAGGAGCCAGACTGTTTAGGGAGGCACAGCCTTCCCTACCCGGCCCTCCATACCATTTTGAAACCCCAATGTGGCCCTAGGGCCAAAAAGTTTGCCCACCCCTGGACTAGGGTAAGACCTCTCCATGTTCATTTCACTTGTGTAACAGTCAGGAATTGACTCCAGGTCTCCGGAGGTGAAAGATCCATCCATTAATCTACAGTGTCATCCTTTCCCATTTTATTTAATAAGGCTGTTTTATTTGTTCTGGTCTTTTTGTAGGTGTTAAAGTATTTGGAAGAGGGTTCGTCTGATTTTGTTTTACCTATAAAAGAGTCTCGGGAGAGTTTCTGGAATCTGCAGAGGAGTAGACACAAAAGCTGAACAAATGCTCACACATAAACTTGAAATCACAAGAAGCAAGCCTAATTTTGGGCTGCATCGCAGGCTCCCTACAATTAATGAACTTGGTGCTCATTTATGGTGAAACTGACCAGTTTCAGAGGAGCTTTGCCCTGAGTTTTTGAGTTTGTTTGACAATGAATTTCAGTGAAGGCTGGTGACATCTTAGAGAAGGTTAGTAAAATGACCACATAAAGGTGCCTCGTAGGGCTGAATTACAACAATGGGTAAAGATCGTAATGTACCTGATTCAAAACAGGGTAGACACCATCTTCTTCCCCCTCCCCACCTGTCCCAAGGAGCCTCCAATAGTAAAATTCTAGCCAAAACTCTACAAAAAATAAACCTTTTAAAAAGGGAGCGAAGAATCTGGAATAGTGATAGCATAGAATGTTTTGGGCAAAATCCCTTTGCTGTAGAAAGTTGCACATTACCAGGTTGATATGGTTGGTTTCTATGTGCTTTAGCACAAAGGTAGAGAGGAGATGTGTGTCCCATTCAACAGCTGGATCGTCTGGAAGGTCCCTGGAAATGAAAAACACAATCAGTCACTTCACGGCTCCCCGCTGTATCCATAATATGCTGAAGGACAGATCTCATCTTCTCCGAGACTGGAAGCAAGATAATTTTATCAACCACAGAAAACCATCCAAACTAAGCACTGCAAGTTCTCCAAGGTCTAACAAGTAACATGTATATTGGTAGGGCTGGAAGGGAAGCAGAGCAGTTCAGCCAATATTTTCCCCACTTTGTTAAGATTTTAACTTGTTATTGTTTTTAAATTAGATTTCCCACCACCACCACCTATTTTCTTTGATCAACATCTATTTGTTCAATGATTCCTACTTTCTGCTCCATTCCATCAGAATTCTTACCCTCTGCACAGAAAGGAAACATCCATCCTCTTTATTCAAATACTTCCTTAAAACACAATTTACCCAGAAAGCCTTTCCAATAAAATCTACTGATGAATTACATATTAAAAGTAATGGATCAAATTCTGCTCTGACCCCATTATCTTAGTGTTCTTTGCATCTGCACTGTGTCTAATTATTCCATCTGTGTATTTTAGGTTGTGAGCAACTTGGGGCAGAGATCATGGGCCAAACACTGGTCTCAATAACACTGCAGTAAATCCAGAAGTCACTCCTCTAAAGTCAACAGAATTATTCCATATTTACAGTGATGTAACTGAGCAGAATATGATCCCCAGTCATTATGCACTGCCAGGTGTCAAGCACACTGTTGGTGTTCACTACTTTAATAATACATATAATAATTTATCATTAGCAATAATATACCCTAAGGCTGCTGAAGACCCACGAGGAACTGTTAAACCCTTCTTTTGCTCTTCCTGTCCGGTAATAGTTTGATTATTGCCTTGAGGCAGCTTAGCAGCCAAGTGAATGCATAACCTTTTCGCACTGACACAATGGTTTGGATTCAGAATGGTCCCAGCTGTTTGCTGCTGAGCGTAGAAGTCCCATTTCCCAGTACACTTGTCTCTTTGCTGGTTCCCAGGACGACGGGGATGATAACATCTGCATCAGAGCAACGGAAAAGTGTCTCCTCAGCACATAGCTCAGCGCATTTCCAAGGTCAAGCTCTTAAGACTGTGTCTACACTAGGGGATTTTTGGCAAAATTTTCCCACCGCTGTTAACACTGGTAGTAGCAAGAAGGGGAGCCCTACAGACTGGCTGCCAGCATTTTCATCACTGTGCTGCCTATCCCTGTTCAGAGCTGATTTAAATAATATGGTGTTAAAAGTACCAGCAGCATTGCTAGCCTTTTCTATACGAGCGTTCTCATTCTTGCTACCCTTATTGGAGCTGCACTGGTGTTAGCAACAGTGGAAAATTTTTGCCAATTCCCCCTAGTACATGAGGTACTCAAGTTTCATCACAGGGGTGAAGCTTAGACTTAATGGGTTGTGGGGGTTGCCAGAAGCCAAAGGCTTCCATCTAATCTGCATAAAATCAGACACTTTCGAGTCTCGTCTTTAATGTAGAAGTGGGCTCACTGATTTAAAATTTGTATTAAAGCTAAATGATATAATACACAGGTTAAGAAAAGAGTGTCTGTACATCTGGGTATAGTGCGTAGAGTATCCAAAAACACAAAGTTTGTTTTAAAAGTCATAAGATACATAATCAGCAAGAACCCAAATTTAGGTAAATAAATTTAACAATACAGTTTTGATATTAGCATACAAATATTTGGGTACATCACTCATGAAAAGTTATACAGAGTTGGTTGTGGAAAGGAAATATATCAATGAGTGAAGATAGTCCCTCAGTAATTGAGAATTTAGGGTAGGTTATCCGTTAGAAAATACAATCCATCAGGGAAGTATTTCAGTTACTTTCCCGACTGCGCTTCTCATCGGCACTCCAGCTCATCCCTCCTGGTATTGCCGATGTCCGGTGATGTGTTCTAGGTAGATGTCCTACTACAGGCCCCACCAAGTCACAAGACGTTGCTTGGATCAAAATAGAGCATGGCTTAAAAGGTTAACTAGATTATCCCAAGCAGCATATGCACTGAACAAGATCTAAGACTAAGTCTTGTATTGTTTCAGTAGCTTGAATGGTGCATTTGAGGATGCACCATGCTTAGTATACTAATATTCAAGTTGTGCATTAGGCTCAGTGGGATTTTTTGCTGCCCACAGCAGTTTGTTCCTTCTTCATTCATCTGACTTTGTAATGGCAGTTCTCTAAAAACTGACCTAGGAAAGTGGAGACAGAGAAAAGTGTCCTGTGAAAACACCAGATGAGCTCCAACCCGTGAGAGGTCAGGAAGGAAACATGGCAACTGGAAATGACAATGTTTAAAAGGATGTTAGTATCCCAGCAGCACCGCTTGGTTTTACTGAGCTTTCTCTGAAGAGGCTCTGGGCAATGGAGCAGGTTTTAACTAGTTTGGACAGAAAAAGGTCACCCTAGTTCAATGAAAATCAACAGCTGGAGGCAACGATTCAGAATCTCTGAAAACAAAACAATCTGAAGGCATGGGGAAATTAACCTTGTGCATGCTGACCTGATTAAAGTGAGCACATTTTGCAAGCAGCTATGCTTCTCGCCATTTATCAAGGCCCCATGAAGCGGGTCATTCATGCCCTGCAACTAAGAGGAATTTTTTCCTGCATCGTATCACCTGCCAGCAGCAAAGAGAGCAAAGCTGATACACACACTCATGCACATGCAGTTTGTAACTAATTAATCCTCACAACACCGCAAACTAGTATTAGCCTCATTTTGCAGATAGAGAAACTGACACAGACAATAAGGTGGTCCAACTTTTCTATTGGCGAGAGAGACAAGCTTTGGAGCCAGACAGAGCTCTTCTTCAGGTCTGGGAAAGGTACTCCCAGCCAAGAAATTGTTTAGCATAAATAGTTAGCACATATTGTAAGAGACCATTCAAGGCAGAGTTGCCCATTAACACCTCTGCAGTCACAGGACAAAAAGAGGGGGTTAGTGGGTAACAGACTGTGTAATAAGCCAGTTGTTCTCAACCAGGGATACACGTACTCCTGGGGGTATGCAGAGGTCTTCCAGGGAGTACATCAACTCAGCTAGATATTTGCCTAGTTTTACGACAGGCTACATATAAGGCACTAGCAAAGTCAGTACAAACTAAAATTTCATACAATGATTTGTTTACACTGCTTTATACACTGAAATGTAAGTACAATATTTATATTCCAATCAGTTTCTTTTATAATTATATGGTAAAAATGAGAAAGTCAGCAATTTTTCAGTAACACTGTTCTGTGACACTTTTTGTATTTTTATGTCTGATTTTGTAAGCAAATAGTTTTTAAATGAGGGAGTTTTTAAACTTGGAGTACGCAAGACAAATCAGACTCCTTCCTGAAAGGGGGACAGTAATCTGGAAAGGTTCAGAACCACTGTAATACATTATAAATCCAGTGTCTCTGTTCAATCCATGATTTTTAATGTCTGGCAGAGTGATGAATTTAAGCTCCCAGGCTCATCTTTTGACAGTGTTGTGCAGGTTTCCTTTGAGGATGAGGACTGAGAGGTCAGATACAGAGTGATCACTGTGTGACACAGACATTAAGTAACACATCCAAACCCACAAAGAGAAGCCAGTAGCAGAGCTGGGACCAGAACCCAGGATCATCACGCGGGTATCTAGTCGCCCAGCGCCAGGAACTGTCTTTTGCTAAGTGTCTGAACAGCACCTAGCATATGTAAATTCTTGGCACTGCCACAATACAAATAAATACAAATAACCATGGACTCTGCTTAAACCACTAGACCAGATTACCATTCTATTTAATATACATGTAAACATATTCTTATTAATACCTTAAAAAATCAACCCTAGCCAAATCTGAAGCACAGTGAGCTTCTGAACAATAAAAACGGGTTATATCTGATTGTTTATTAATAACTTCAGGGCTGATGATCAGAGCCATTTGGCATTTAAGTGGTTAACTCTAGCTTTCTGACTGTAGCCCATAATGTCTCTCAGCTCAAGGTCGCAAGGCTGAGATAAAGGGCTGTAATGGAGTGAAAATTAGCACAGTCCTTGGAGCTGACTGGAGCCTGTCCCAGGAGACACCCCCTTCCCCACACCTCCTCTGTCCTGTGCCCCAGAGAGCTCCTTGTTGGTGCTGCCAACCTCGGGGATGGATCAAGATATAAATCACTGTTGGAAAGGGTTCCTGGATCAAATCGCTGTAGGGGTGGGGGTGTAGGAAGGGTTCAGTCAAGCAGCCTGATTTCAACCCAAGGCTTCTGGCCAAGAAGTGACATTTACAGGCATTCCAAATCACAGACACTGAATGCAAAGGACTGTTCATAGCTAGGGAGCCTCAGTGACTGAGGGCATGAACAGCCGGCCACGATGGGGCGAGGCTCTGGTCATGCAATAGGAAGGTTTTGCCCCAGAATTAAGCTTGTTGCAGTTTTTATAACATTTTCAGTGAATCAGGGTTTTGCTGCTGCTCTGTCAAGCGTATTTAGTGCTGGGCTGAGAGCACTGGAGAGTGAGGGTAGGTCTACACTGCAAAAAAAAAACATCCATGGCAGAGAGTCTCAGAGCCTGGGTCAACTGACTTGGGCTCATGCTAGGGGGCTAAAACAGTGTAGATGTTACTGCTCAGGATGGACCCCGGGTTCTGACACCTGGCGAGGGGGGTTGGTCTCAGAGCCTGTGCTTCCGCCTGAGCGGGAATGTCTACACTCCTATATGTGTGAGCCCGAGTCAGCTGACTTGGGCTCTGAGACGAGCCCGAGTCTGCTGACTTGGGCTCTGAGACTCGCTGCCGTAGGTATTGTTTTGCAGCATAGAGGTACCCAGAGGGTGGGATGTTCAAATGCATCCAATGTTGGCCTAACTATGCTTACTGACCTTAGCAGGAACAGTCAGGCCAACTCTGAGGGCTTCTGAAAACCCTACCTATAAGTCCTCCATTTATCTATCGTGGGCTTTGCCACTGACTCGGGAGGAGGATAAGACCCTTTGTTGGTTTCTAATTTTCTCTCCCTT